TATATGATTTTTATGTGGAGAAGGACTTCCTAAGCAAGAAACCAAAGATGGGAAAGACAAAAAGTCTGATAGGTTTTTCTAGACATATAGACATACATGCGTACCTCATACACAAATGGGATCATACCATACCAGTCCCTTCTCCCTCAACCTTTAACCACATTTGCAGCCCAGTCCCCTTTCCTGCCCTAACAGCTAAGCTGTTATGTTAAAAATTGTACAGGTGTTCTTCTAAACTATATATATTTCTAAAATCACACATATTAATAATTTATAAGCATGATTTTTTTGTTACTGTCTTACATAAAGTAGAATTATATTGGGATTCTTTTGCATCTTGTTTTTCTTAATCCACTGTACTTTAGGAATCTCTCCCATGTCATCTGGCATAACTCTTAATTTCTTCATTTTAATGGCAATTCCAAATTAATGTTCATTCACTTTGTTTTCAGTTCTTTTTTTTTTGTTCTTTTTTAATTTATTTTTTAAATTAAATATTGTTCAGATTATTACATTTGTTCCTCTTTTTCCCCCCATAACTCCCCTCCTCCCAGTTTCCACCCCACCCTCCGCCCTCACTCCCCACCGACTGTCCTCATCCATTGGTGCACGATTTTTTTTTTTTTAAATATATTTTATTGATTTTCCACAGAGAGGAAGGGAGAGAGACAGAGAGCTAGAAACATCGATGAGAGAGAAACATCGATCAGCTGCCTCCTGCACATCCCCCACTGGGGACGTGCCTGCAACCCAGGTACATGCCCTTGACCGGAATCGAACCTGGGACCTTTCAGTCCGCAGGCCGACGCTCTATCCACTGAGCCAAACCGGTCTCGGCAAGGTGCACGATTTTTGTCCAGTCTCTTCCCGCATCTCCCACACCCCTTTCCCCCCCAAGAATAGTCAGTCCATTCCCTTTCTATGTCCCTGATTCTATTATAATCACCAGTTCATTCTGTACATCAGGTTATTTATTCACTTGATTCTTAGATTCACTTGTTGATAGATGCATATTTGTTGTTCATAATTTGTATCTTTACCTTCTTCTTCTTCTTCCTCTTCTTAAAGGATACCTTTCAGCATTTCATATAATACTGGTTTGGTGGTGATGAACTCCTTTAGCTTTTCCTTATCTGTGAAGCTCTTTATCTGACCTTCAATTCTGAATGATAGCTTTGCTGGATAAAGTAATCTTGGTTGTAGGTTCTTGCTATTCATCACTTTGAATATTTCTTGCCACTCCCTTCTGTCCTGCAAAGTTTCTGTTGAGAAATCCACTGACAGTCGTATGGGTATTCCTTTGTAGGTAACTGATTTTCTTTCTCTTGCTGCTTTTAGGATTCTCTCTTTGTCTTTTGCTCTTGGCATTTTAATTATGATGTGTCTTGGTGTGGTCCTCTTTGGATTCCTTTTGTTTGGGGTTCTCTGCACTTCCTGGACCTGGAAGTCTATTTCTTTCACGAGGTAGGGGAAGTTTTCTGTCATTATTTCTTCAAATAGGTTTTCAATATCTTGCTCTCTCTCATCTTCTGGCACCCCTATAATTCTGATGTTGGTACGCTTGAAGCTGTCCCAGAGGCTCCTTACACTATCTTCGTATTGTCGGATTCTTTTTTCATTTTGCTTTTCCGGTTGGGTGTTTTTTGCTTCTTCGCTTTTCAAATCTTTGACTTGATTCTGCGCTCCTCTGGTCTGCTGTTGGGTGTCTGTATAATATTCTTTATTTCAGTCAGTGTATGCTTAACTTCTAGTTGGTTCTTTATCACAACATCCAGGGTCTCATTAGATTTCTTGTAGATCTCATTAAGTTTATCGGCAGTTTCTAGAAAATTATTGAAAGACCTTAAAAGTGTGGTTTTGAGCTCTACATTCTCCATTTCTGTCATGTTTCTTTGTCTCCGCATTTTTTATGCTTTCTTGGTGCACCCCCTTGTGGTCTTTGTGCGCAGTCTTGTTGTAGTTAAGCCTTGATTATTGTCGGTAATACTGGGGGTGATTTGACCTCCAGGCCAACTGGCTATGAGAATCAGCTGTGTCTGCAGTGGGAGAACTTATGTGCTGGATCTCTAGGGCGGTGCTAATCTAGCCTTTGCCTGAGGCTATCTGTGCAGGGCTTGGGCGGGGCGGGTCCACGTGGATCTACTGGGTGGGCGGAGCGAGCAGTTATGGCTGCTCTCAGTCCCGTCCCCAGGGGATCTGCCTCTCAGAGTCCCAGCAAACACTGCAAACCTTGGAGAGAAAGCTGCCTTCGAGTTCTGACCGAAGCCAGACAGTCCCGCTTCTCCCGTATGAGTCTGGGTCCCTAGAGACTCGCCCGGATCTGGAGCTCAGAGTCTGAGACTCCCTCCCGATTGAAACAGACAACCGTGCCCTCAGCCGCCAGCCCTCTCCACATGCACTCCGCACCTTAGTATTTTACTTCAGCACTGCGCCTCCTCTGAGTCTCGGTATGCTTTTCTTTTTCCTCCTAGTTGTAGAACTTCCACTCAGCCAGCCTTCCTGTGGTTCTGGATGATGTCCGTTCCGTCTTTTAGTTGTATTTTTGAAGTGGTTGTTCGAGGCAGCAAACTCTGGCGTTAACCTATGCCGCCACCTTGGTTTTCTCTGTTTTCAGTTCTTGATCCCTACTGATTATGCTGCCATTACTATCCTGTACACATTTTATAGAAATTGTTCTCAATTCCTAATCATTGTTCTCAGACTGCTTTCAAAAAAAGGCTGTGCCCTCTATATTTCTACTAGCCATGAGTTTCTCTTCTCTAGGGTTCCTGACAGCAGTAGCTCCCATTTAATTTTGTAACTTCCTGTTTGCTCAATGTCTCAAAGTTGTCCAGAGAGAGATGAGTGACAGGGACCTTGGCCTCTCCTTTCCCAGGTTTTCCTGGGCATGAACACAGCCTTGCACATGTATGCAGCCTTTATGATCCCCAGGAATATGTCTAGTTTTGGAGCATTTTCTTTTAAATTCCTACCCAGGCTCTTTCTTATGTATTTCAACTGAAACCACAGCCTTAGGCAGTTGGATATTGCCAGCAGATTGCTATTATTTCTGTGATGCCCTGCAGGGTAGGATATTTTGTCTCTCTGAGCTGATGTCTGTATCAAGTAAAATTGCACAGCACCTTGGGAGTATAGTTTTCCAAGCAGCTGCAAGTTGGGACAAAATGTTGATTGTGCTCCAGGGAAGCTGGTTTTATTGGAACTGCAAAAGAAAACAACAACAACAACAAAAAAAAACGAGTCCTCTGTGTTTGCTGATACCTTTTCCTATCTTTACTTGGCCACCTAGCTAGGAGTGAATGGGCTGGGAATAGCATTCCATCAAAATGTTTCAGTCCTCCTTGTCTCTGAGGTGCAGTTGTTTTTATTGAGTAGACAATGTTCCACTCGTTTTGTGGCTTTGGTTAATTTCCAGAGTTTTGAAGAATTTAACTTTAGTTGTTTTGCTAGTATTTCAATTTCTGTGGGAAGCGAGATCACGGAGGTCTGTACTGTCATTCTGGAAGTTACTCTCACTTCCTTGTTTCCTTAGCTGTTCATAGGCATTGAGTCCACAATGTGAACTTCAAGGTCATTTTATTCAAATTCAAGAAAGGCTTTGGGGATCCTAATTACATTACATTTATGAATTAATTCTGGAAGAATTAATATTTTGGGATTTTAAGTTTTCTTAACTGGAACATGACAAGACTGATAGATTTCATTATTTAAATGTGTACATTTAAAAATATTCAATTTCTTAAAACTGCTAAGAATTCAGTTACAAATGACACTAGGGAAAATATTAGCAATATATGATAGATACAATGTTAATGACCTTTGAGTATTAAATTTATTTTTAAATATGGAAATTACATACAAACATGGGTAAAAGATATAAGCTTATTTTTAAAAGAAGAAATACAGATGACCAATAAGCCTAAGAATATTTAGGGATTAAAAATACAAATTAAAATGAGATACCCTTTTCACCTACCAAGTCAGAAAAAAATAATGTTTGGATAAGGTGTGGCAAAATACTACATTGCTGATGGAAGTGTAAATTGGTACAGTCTTTCTGGAATACAGTTCTACTCAGATGTCCCATTTTTAGGAATTAATCCAAAGGGAAAATTATTATTCATTTATTAAACAGTTACTAAACACCCACTGTATGCCAAACAATGTTTGTCACCAGGTATATACATCAGCAGAAAGCACAGAAACCTTTGCCTTCATTTAATTTATATTCTTGTTGGTGAGGCAAACAAACGAATGAAATATAAAAGTCTATTAGAATAAGATAGGTACTATAGGGATGGGGAAACTGAGAAGAAAGATAAATGTTGGGGTAGGAGTGTGTGTTTGGGATCTAAGAAAAATATTGCTTAAAATGATTAATCTCTAAGAAATGGGCACAGATGTCATGTTTTCTTTATATGTTTCTAAATTGTTTCTATAATGAACTTGTGGAAATAGATAACAGAAATCAACAAATATATTTTTTAAATACTCAAAATTTTTGGACAGTATGAGTCCCTGACACATTTTAAAGCAGCCTTCTAGATATTACAACAGATGGATTTTATTTCAGGAGAATAAATATAAATGGATTTATTAGCATAGGGTTTAGCCTGTCACCCTTGGGTAAAAAATCTGATTTATATTTCTTTTCCTCAAATTTGGCTATCTTAAACTTGAATTCATTGAGCAAATTGAAATTTTATTTTTCTTTTCTGAAATTAAGAACATTGAGAAGACTATCAATTTCTCTTACTAGAATTATATTGCATAAATGTTGTTACAAAATTATTCATTTTATTTACTTTTTAACACTGAATTTCAAGCAGTAAATTTACTTGGTTATTTAAAATATTTTGTATTAAATACTTAAACCAGAATCACTTTTTAATGTTTCATGATGGATTTCATTATATTTCACTTTCATTTTATAAGCTATTGATGTAAGAATTTAGAGTAACTTAGAATTTTAGAATTTAATACAGGAAAATATATTTTAGGAAAACAGTTAAAGGATGGGAAGAAGCCAGAACCATGCAAACCTATCCTCAAGGTGGAATTCAAAACGTCTAGATCTGGGTAAGATTTTATTTCATTGCCAATATTCATTGTATATAATTGCTCAAATAGCACTGAAGGCTAAAGACCTACTTTAGAATGGTCTATCTCTTAAATTTTACGCTTTCTTTATTTCACAAAATAACTAAAATTGGTAAATTTAGGATAAAATCCATTTTTGTGTTTTCTCTGTCTTTAGCAGTTTTGCTATATATCCTGGAAGGTATGAATTATTTTTCTTATCAAACTTCAGTTAACATAGAGTTTATTCACTACTGAAAATTGCGAAATAGCAATGAAGAAAAAATGATTTAAAATTAACCTATTGATATTATATATATATTAACTGTGAAATTTTATATGTGTTCTTCAAAACTTAAATCTCATAAGAATATTTGGCAGTTCCAAAAATAAGTACAGTTTAATATTAAAGGAAATTAGTTGAATTTGAAGACATTGATTGCCTCTATATATAAATTAAATATAAGAATTAAATGGTTTTTACACTTTATATATCTCACATATATTTTTTGTTTGCACCAAATGTTATATTTTAAAATATAATTTAGGAAAAAAATTTAATTTATTTTTTTAATTCCACATCTCTTTACACTTTAAAGCAGTTCTTTTACTTATGTTCTAGTTTCCCAGAAAAAGCATGTGGTTTTACTTCTATAGCCATGTAAGAGAGTGAACTTATGTAGTATATATAGTCCAGCAGCTCTCAAATTTTCGTTCTTAGATTGATATTCCCCCACCCCCCTGCCCCTGATCCTCTTTAGCCTTCCTCTGGAATCCAGCAGATATACTGTGTTCTGACAATAGGTTGAATGTACTTTAAGAGAAGTAGCATGGGCTTAATTGACTATGGCATCCCTTACTGTGTGACCTTTGGCACAGAGCTATTTGACTTTGTGCTTTAGTTTCCTCATTGATGACATAAATGTGATAATAGGTCAAATGGTTGTTGTGATAACTTGAGATAATTGTGTATTTATAACATTTCACACAGTGCCTACCTAGCACATAATAAACTTTCTATAAATGGTTGCCCTTATTTTTATTAGGAAACTTCCTACTATCAATTGTTTCTTTTATTTGCTACATTTGTCCACTGGCAAAGGAACATAAATAGTAAAAGTATGGCAGAAAAGGAAGTGAGGGGGGAATGAGACAGAAAAAAATCCCTGTATTTATAATACAACATAAAATGAATTGTCTAAACATTTAAACCAACAGTCCTAATTATCTTCTAAATTACCTGTTCATTTTAACAGATATTGATTGGCAACAACAAAGGCAAAAGTCCAGGGAAGATTTTTTTTCTCTCTCTTTGTTCCCATTTTTACTCCTGTATAATGGTAATATTTATGAGTTCCCAGTTTCTTCCAGGATGTTAGCAATACTTTTCCTTTTATAGGATCTAGAATGAAAAAAAAAAGTCTAGCTGTTTTGTGTGCATTTGTAGATTCTATAAAACAAATCAATATGATCATCCCCTTATAACAGTCTTCTCCAGCTTTCCAATTTCTTTTTCCACGTTAGGACATTCACAAGTTAAACGAATTATTTTTTCTTATTCCATGGCCTCTTTCCTTGACATAGGTCCTTAGAATTCGAATGTGTAGCCCATGTTGACAATTACTGCACTACCCCCTCCCACCTAGAGCAGAATCACCCTCAGTTGAGTAAGCTAGACAGCTCTCACTTTTTCCCGTTCCTAGCAAGTGTCTTGGGCAGATGCCAACAGAATGTGTGTTCTATTAGTTCCTGTTGACAAATGACCAAAGTTTATTAGAAGAGCCATCCTTCCCTCCTAGGATCTTCTACATTTTCTTCTCTTTACCTGGAAATCATTTTAGGCACAATTCCCTCCCCTCCTTTATAGTTCAGCATAAATGTCACTACTTTTAAAGATGTTTTGGCCATGTTGACTAGGTTGGGTACCCCAGTAGTATACTCTCAAGCCTCGCTTTATCTTTCCTTTCTAGAACTTATTCTGGTGATTAATAATGTGAGTATTTGTTCAATGTATGTCTTCAGCTCAGTGAAAGCGTGGGACATAACTGTCTCATTTGTAATTGTCCAGCTCCTAGCATAGTGTTACTGAAAGTGAGGAAGAAAATGATAGGCTGGTGTTTAGAAAAATATATCCATAAAGAATTAGCTTTTACCTGTTCATGATAAAGCGTAGTTTAACTCTGCAGCATAGGTAATCAAGATGGGTAATTTTTACATTTTAATAAAATAAAGTATATATTATACCAGGACAGATCAGACATAGGGAACAGTGACAATATCATTAATATAGCATTTTAATACTCTATAGCATTATCAAAGATATGGCTATATTCTTTACATGGCCAGTGCTTTTTAAAAAGTCTAAAGTATAATGTTGATTCTTTAAAGGTTATTTCTTTAAAAAATGAATGTGACTTGGGTGTGAAGTGCCGCAGGGAATGGTGCTGGAGAGGAGTGATTAAGAGAGTGAACTCGAACTGAACCACCTGGGTCTCAAGAGCTCTTCACTCTTTGTGCAGTCTTGGGAAATTAACTGAGTTTTCTGTGCCTCTGAGAACTGTAATATCTATCTCACAGAATGGTTATGAAGATTAAACAAATTTATATAAAGCATTTGGAACATACTCTTTAAACCAGTTGTCTCACATATCAGTTGTCTCAAATAGCATTTGATAACCTCTAAAAAACCTATAAATTGTAATTATTCTCTGATTTTGCATTCACAAAGCAGGTGTCTGAGTGGCAAGGTTGACCAGCCTTTATAATAGTTAAAGAACCTCATTAACATTCTTCCCAAGCTTGAGAAACACTGTGATTTAGGGCAGTGATTTATTTATTTATTTATTTATTTATTTATTTATTTATTTATTTTTAGACATCAGGTAATGATGTTCAGTTAGTGGGTTGTGAAAATAATTTTGTTGATTGTGACCATTGATTGTTAACTTAAAGACTAGAATAGGAAATAGAGTGCACTGTACATTTTAAGGGTAAGTATTGGTCATGAAACTTTTGTTCAGTTGTATACATTTATGTATCTGTATATTGTGTTATGAAGTAAAATGCACTTCTTACAATGCCTCATAATCATAATATTTGAAAACCCCTGATTAGTAGAAATAACTCAGGTTTCGGGTCCAAATCCCAGTTCTGCCACTTACTGTATTCAGCAAGTTGCTTAACCTCCTTGACTGTCTCTCCTTACCTCAGTGATATAGGGACAGTAATTGTAGCTTCATAACATTGTTGTGAAGAACTAAAAGAAATACAGTGTGTTTGGCACATGGTAGGTGTTTGATTAAATTCTAGTTCCTTTTCTCCTCTAATTCTACACTTTCTTTTCACTTGTGGACAACACAAGAAGTTGTAGGCAAGGCCAGATTTTCAATAAGAAGCAACTCTGGATGGGTTCAAGTTTTCAAACAGGTACTCCATTGAACTCCTGGGAGTTCTGCACTACATGCACATCTTTAGATCATTAGAAGAGTGAGTTTCTCTTAGGAAATGGACCACCATTAGAGATTCACCAGTTTTGAGGGAAGCATCTCTGTTAGGGAACCTTAAAGTGTATATAATCATAATATAATTTGGCAATTTAGTTACATTTGGAGAATCACAACTGAAAGATTTATTCCCTTTTATCATAACACTTGCTGTGGCAAACTTTTTCTGTATGGAGCCAGAGAGTATATATATTTAGGCCTTGAAGGCCATATGGGTGTCTGTTACAACTACTCAACTCTGCCATTGTAGTGCAATAGCAGACATAGGCAGTTCATAAATGAATGAATGCAACTGTGTTCCAATAAAACTTTATTTACGGACAGTGAAATTTGAATTTGATATAGTTTTCATGTGTCATTAAATACTTTTCATTTGTGTATTTTCTCAACTATTTAAAAATGTAAAAACCATTCTTAGTTTTCAGACCATACAGAAATAGGCAATAGGCCATAGTCTGCTGAGCCTTTATATGCACACACATACACACACATGGTATATGTATTTAAGTTTATCTTTAAGGAAAACTTTTGGGGTTTTTGTATTTCCCCTACCCTCTCTGGTGCCAGAACGTGGTTTAGAAGATAAGGTGATTTATTTTATTTTATGTTTTCTGTCATCTTTCTCCCCTCTATGCCCTTTTCCAGCTATACCCCCTTCCCCTCGCACTCACAACACTCTTTTCTTAAGTTTTAATTTTACATGTGAGCTAAAAGCTGTAGGTGGATTACCTGTATAAGAATATGAAAAAACACAGACTAAAAGCTCAGGGTACATTTGTGATATTCTGGTTCTGAAAATATCTAAGTCTATTTTAATAACATTCTCAAACTTGCTACAAACTTTCTCTACTGTTCCTAGGGACTTGTTTCCAATGAAAGAATCCTAACTTTCTGAAGTCCCAAAGCAAACACCCTTCTGTACAAAGATTGTTGTAGCAGATGAGGACATTGAAGCAGAAAGGTTGAGCAACTTGTCTAGGGACATGCAGCTCATAAGCTGAAGAGCCCAGATTTAATTAAGTCTGTGCTCTTAACCACGCTACACTTCCTTTTTAATGAAACCTACTCTCTGTTTACATTTACCACCAACCCTCAAGATTAAGCCATAGCAGCAAGAAGAGAAACTCATTTGGACACCATGCCTGCTTTCCGAAGCAAAAGCAGTTTTCTTTTGCATTGTCTTAGCAATGCTTATGTCCTTACTTGAGACAAAAATAGTATTTTACATCTTGAACTCAAGACCCTTACTTAAATGGCTTGGCTTCTAAGCACCAAGAAGAAAAATATTCGTAGGTGAAGTGAATATCCATTATTTGCTTACTATATGCCAGGTATTCTGCTATGCAGTTTGCATTGGTTGTCTTTCGTAATTCTCATAACTGCACTATGGAATGGGTACTTTTATTGTCTCCATATAGATATTGAGTCATAGAGCACTTAAGTTAAATTAGCTTGCCCTGAGAAGTTACAGAGCTGGAATTTGAGCCCAGGCTGTCT